TATATATATATATATTACTATACAATTCTGTATTCTGTACTGAAAATATCAAATATATATATATATTGGGTGGATTTGTAAAAGCCATTTACTTACTTGTTACTTGTCCTGTTTTCTTGATTTCCTTTTCCTCCCTCACTTCTGTGTTACTGTGCAGTTAGGAAGATTTTTGCACTTGCATGATAAAAATCTGAATTTTTAGCTAGAAAATAGCTTAAAACCCCCAAAACAATTATAGATTGTTTGAAAACAGAGGGCATCCAGAAAAAAAAGGCTGTTGTAATTTTCTTATGTCACACAATATTTGTGCAAATGTTTATCAAATTGATGTTTTTAGGATAAAATACACTAAAATAAATTTTAGTGCACATAAACAAAATATGACACCCAATTTTTTGGTAAAATACAAAAGATGGTGTTGTCTCTGATAGATACCAAAATGATCAAGCCTTAAAATTGAAATGGCAAAAAATTACCATATCCAAAATTGCCCATAGGCAATGCTTTAAAAGCTTTTACCACACCTCAGTTTAGTGTTTACAGGGAGTGATGGCCCCTGAATTATTCATTTCACTGTGACATTTGCGATAATATGTAACATGTGTGGCACAATTGTTCTGTTTGCATATAGGCGCACCTGATGCATATTTGTATTTGTATGTGCGTGTACGTGGGGACTTTATAACAGTACAGGGTCACCGCTGCCGCCCCTCTGCGCTCTGCCGCCTTGAGGCCGGGCCTCGGTGGCCTTGTGGGAAATCCGGGCCTGACCAGCACCACCTCTGGCGATAGCGGCCAGGGAAACGACAGCCTAAGGGCCGGTTCACACCATCTCCAGTGCGTTTCCAGCATGGCTAGCTGCTGGAACATACTAGATCGCATACTGTGAGCCTCCCTGCATTCTGGAGAAGGAAAGGGCATGGCAGTGCATTCAAGTCAATGGCACCGCAGCCACGCCCGCCCACCAGCAGTGCTATCTCCCGCACCAGAACGCGTGGCACAGCAATCCTGCGTTCTGGTCTGGTGCGATCTCCAAAAATAGTGCCCTAGGGGCTTGTTCACACCAGTTACAGTGCATTCCAGAGCGGTTAGCTGCCTGCACACACTGTATCGCATACTAAACTCCCCCGGAGGGGGCATTTAGTCCTGCACGATCTCAAAAAATGCTGCAAGCAATCACACTGCAGGCAGGGGGACATGGCTGCGGTGCCATCGACTTGAATGCACTATCACACCTCATCATTCCCCAGAAGCCGGCCAGGATGTGATACAGTGCATTTCAGCAGCTAACCGCTCTGGAGCGCACTGTAACTGTGTAAACGAGCCCTAAAACCATGAGACTGTAAGTTGCAAGAGCCAGTAATCTGAAGGAATAAGTAACCCAGCCCCCATTTCTATCAAAGGGTGGGCTCAAAGCAACCATATTGTCAGTGTCTGTTGGAACTGGTGGGGAGAGCTCACAATTTTGTATAGAAAAAGATGCTGTTTATTTTTTTAATTATTTAATTGTTTATTGACATTGGTCCAATGGCTTTTATTTGATTGTTTGCTTATTAACCTTACAAAAAAAAACAGAATTGAAGAATAATTTTTGTAAGATTCCCAAAAGTGTTCTTTGTCAATCTCTAATTTCTAGTATGATATTCACCCAGTAAACCAATAAAACATCACTTAATTTCTAAAATTTGTTGTAGAGTTCAAAATGTTGTTTGGAATAACTTACCAATTAATAGGCAGTTTTGTTCCTGAGCAGAAAGAGAGCCAGATTAATTCTCCATTCCAACAGGAATGTTTCCCCTTTTCTCTCCACACAAGCCGGAGCTACAAACTTTTTGGAGGTATTTGTTTTTGTATCTGTCATCTCTAAATCTAATACACTTTATGGAGTATTATTGACCTCCTGCAAAAGATGCCATATAAAAGCTTGAGATGATGTTGTAAGATTTTAGATTGTGAGCTCTCATGGGCAGGGCCCTCCTTACAATCTTGTCTTCACTTGTATTGTAAATGCAATGTCCTCCTTATATTGTAAAGCGCTGTGCAAACTGTTGGTGCTCTATAAATCCTGTATAATAATAATAATATTGAATTGTAGGTTGATTTTTAAAAACAGGTTAAGGAATAAAACATTTATGAGAGCACCAAAAGGCCGGTGATAATTAGGCTTCCAAGCTTAAAGTTCATCTATGGACAAAAAAAGGCACCCATGATAAAGTGACAGCTGCCTATCTAGAGGCAGAGCCAGCTGTGCCTGCCCTCTCTCCCATCCGTTCCTCCAGTCAGCACTGGAGGATCATTGTGTCATGTGATACCACGATCAGGAAGTACATGCTTGGCGGACGCTGGATTTGGTGCTGTGTTTGACCGGCCGGTTTCTGCTGTTTTAAACTGTGAGTTTTCTATGTTTTTTTTAAATAAACGTGTATACTTGCCACATCATGAGGAGTTTTTCTTTTATGATCCCACAAATGCTCGAGTGACGGGATACTGCCGGATAGAACACCTTGAATGTGGACGCATAGAATCATCTACACTGTCTATTTTCCACAAACAGTGGGGTGAGTGCGCACCCCAGAGGGGGATTCGTGGACACTTGCACAGCGGTGTTGAAATATTTCTGTCTGGGTTTCATTTTTTTCTACTTTGGATTTTCCACATTATCATCACAGTTGAACTTTATTTTTGCTGAATTTTATTTTGATGAATTATCACTGACTATTGTTTAGGATTTGATTAAGTTGGCTGTTATATAGCTACACAGCGGATTTTATGAGCACTTGTTTCTTTTTAATAATTAAGGATATTGCTATGTGAAGGCACTAGGATCACCCAATATTGTTTGTATTTTTATTTGTTTAAACACAATTTTTTCATATTTATATATCCCTGAAAAAGGGATTACACTTTACCCATTGTAGGGATTTTAGCACGTTAATAGATGTGTAACACATAAAACACCTACAGCGCTG